ATGTTTATAATAGCCATATCAAAAGCAATCATTTCCATATGCATATTGGTTTGGAGGTGGTTTGTACCTTTTTCATATTTTTTTTGTTAGATTATCTTTAGAATAGTAACATTCTCCCATTTAAATGGTTAAAACAAGTTTCTTCGACTAAAGTACATATAAATGTCTGCACAGCAAAGGATTTTATACTAATTTGGAAAATTACATGTATTGTTTGATAAATTTACAAATTTGTCCTTTGCTAACTAGTGTAATAAGTTATTTGGTAAAGTGGATGGCAAAAATGTGCACCGGATCCACTAATTTTAGGATTTTGTCTTTCCCACTTTGCTGGGCAAAAAAGGGGAAAATTGGGCTTGGTGACCTACAGTGGACATGCACAGCACATACAAATATAATTAGTTTTTGGACCGACTTCGCTACACAGATGGATGGCCAGAGAGAAAAACTTTGTTGTCCATCAAAATATTTAAGTTGGAAACTGTGGTCTAATACAATTTTCTTTTCCCTTTGGCAGCAGCGAACAGTAGCTGAGTGGAAAAATGTATTTGTGTACCACATGGTGGATGAGCGAGCTTTGGCAGCCTAATTGTAGCTGATAGATGGGTTTTTGTTATAATCTGTAAATTTGCAGGTGATCGATCCATTTTGTCAAGGAATGTCATACATGTTTCTGGTTTAGAATCCGCATTGTAAACATAATACTAATATTGCAATATTTAAATCTTGTTGTAATATTCTTGAAGAAATATTTATAAGTCCTGTCAACAACTGGAGTGCTACAATTAAAAAAACAATTAATTTAATTTAATTTATAGCCTTAAGAAAATTAGAATTGTAGGTTTTAACGTTTACGTGAGGTCGGTTTCGCCTCTCATTTATTTTTCCCAAAGCCAAAACTAAACTATTTATAGAATATGGTAATTCCATAAATTATTCAAATCACTAGGATAATCCACACCCTTAATTTGCTGCAGTTCCCGGAGTTTTCCTTTGAAAACTATAAATGAATCCGAATCCAATCAGTTTAGTGGGTCGTAAAAACCGTTTGATATGGCCATGTCCATACACACAAGCGTATAGTTTGTGATTTCCTTTTTCTTTTTTTTTCCTGCTAAATATTCCTGTTTGCGTCATTTGGCTGCTGCTGCTTTTTTTTGCATCGGGCTTTCTATAGCTTTTTGCCTTAATTTGTTGCCGGGCGCCGCCAGACGACGAAAGCGAAAATTGGAAATTGAAATTTGATTGATTATATTGCGAGGAGAGCGACGACGATGAGTTCCAATGATGATGACGACGATTAATGCGGAATGCGGAGCAGCCCATGAAAGTGTTGCAAACCTAATTGCTGTCAATTGCTGGGGCCAGAAAATCAATCGAGAAATCGCGGCAAAAATCACTGCCGTTGCATTTTATCTATGTATCTATGTATCTATCCACCTTGCCCTGTCCACTGGGGTTTTCGCCGATTGCTGATTGACAAGGAACGCAACCTCCGCCCACTTTGGGTTAAGGCCTTTTACTTAACACTGCTGGTGCGGCTGGTCTTGGCAAGAAAACCTCTTTGGACTCTGATCTCCTTGAGGCGATGGGTGCCTGTCAAGCGGAAACAAGAAATAAACACAAGAAATTGTCATGTTTTCGCTACTCGGGGGATAAGTGAGTGGATGTGCGGATGTGCGAATGGGGGCGAGGCTTCACTATTAAATGGGCACTATGGGCTGGTGATGCCAAGTTTTAACCAGAAGGCGGCCCAGTAGCGCGTGTCTGCTGACTGGCCCTCAATCGATCCCATCGAGCATGGCCAATACATTACGTACCGAACTGGACAAAACGCTCATAACACATATGGAGATTAATTAATTTAGTTGCGACCGAAATGCTGATGAAAATAACATCTCGACTAACGGCCAAACGGCTCCGCACAATTTATTTAGGACACATAAATACAATTTCCAAAATACGCACGAAATTCCCACTTGACGTGAATTTATAATGACAGCAATTTTTGCGTTGCGTTGTGTTGTGTGTGTGTGCGCTTTTGGCTTTTTGTTTCACTGGTCAGTAGTAGTAGTATGTAGTAGTAGTTGGTGGGTCTGGTCTGGTCTGAACCTGCAGTGCGAACCGCTCGTATTTACACTTGCATAACTCAGAAATTCACTTGAGCACTTGGCGTGCCGCAAATAGAATTTTTTGGACAAGCCCACACACAGCAAAGCACAAAAAAAAAAACACAAGACAACACAACTATCGGTAGCGATGGGGTTAAAGCCATTAAGTTGGGGACGAGTATGTGGACGCAAAATTGAAAATATTCACGTCTCATTATATTAATGTCGCTGCGAAAATGCAAATTCGAAATGCGCACATCAAAAATGATTCAAACAGCCCACATAAGCAAACAAACAAGCGGCGCGAGCAAACAAATTGACAGCGAATCAACGAATAAGCCAACTGACTGACTGACTGACTGACTGAATGACTGAATGGCTGACTGACTCACGGACTGGCTGACAAACTGCTGCCACACAAACAAAAGAAACATCCATGTTGACGTCTAATTGTCGAGGGTTCGTCGGAGCAACTGTTCAAACATGAGGCTCTACAAGATCTGCTGGATGATTGCTCAACTGGTCTCGGGACACATAAGGAGTTCAGATCAATTTGCACAGTTCGTTGCCATCAAGTGGCTATGTCAATATCTGAGCAGGATCAGTTAAAGAAATATAGCTAATGCTTAGGAAAGGTAAAAAGGAAGGATCAACGGATGAAGATGCATTGATGGTTAGTCCTCTAAAATTATTATTATTTCCATAATTTCTCAGAAAGCTTAAGAATATAGACTAATACAGCTTAACTTCTCAGCTTCAACCAGAACCAAAGGTTTGATGTCTAATAAAAAATCAAATCATTTTATTTAAGTTTTGCACTACATAATTGAAAAACCTCTGTATCTAGTTCTTTCCTTGCAAACAATAAAGTTGTAAACAACAATCAGACTTATAAATTTAATAAACTATCATACCAAATCGGTAATCTGGTTAAATAAAATGAAGTAGATAACTTGGTAAAGGTAAAGTTTCAATTTCAAAAAATATTGTTTTTGCAGATAACCCCGTAGCATTATTCCTAAAATGCAAATCATTTTTCTGGTTTGGATCAACTTAAAATAAGACAAATAAGAAGTTTCAATTAGATATTTTTTTGTAAATCAGACCGATATAAAAATTAAAACAACAAAAAAAATAAAACTTAGTAAATCGAACCAAACATAATCTTGCTTGGTAGATTGTTAAAAAATTCATTTTGGATTTGATCATTTTGGTTAAGTTTTAAAGGTTATCTATCCTGTAATTGTATAATTGTCCTAAATGTGTCCTAACTTTCGTTATTAAATTCATAGTTCTGAAACCGATTTAAAAAAGATATAAGAAACTAAGCAATTAAGAATAAATACATATTTATGAGGTTCAAATATATCATTTATTTTGTTTGTTTCAATTTTCCATAACCCAAACTTCTTGAACTCTTTTTTTTGGGAGGTTTATGATATGGAATGAACTTATGATTAGAAGAATTTTAAAGATTCTGTGATCGCAAGGGGTGGACATACCTCATCGGTGCAAAAGCTAACATTGTACACAGCTGATTTTTGGGGCTGCTGTTGCTGCTGCACGGCGATGGTGTGGCAATATTCCACGATGTCTATAAATGTTTTCATGCCTAATTGATTTAACGTCTCGGGCATAGCCGAATATAGACATCGATCCGATGGCAGCGACCAAATATTCCACGCTGCACTCGTTAAAGCCGGCTAATTACGGATTTTATTTGCAAAATGAATTTGTGCATAATATTTTAATGAATTTAACGGATTGCCGCATACAAATCGCAATTAATCTGCCAGTGAAAGACCGTTGTCAGCAAAAATTTTCGGTTCTGGTCATTCTCGGCCAGTATTTTCGCCATGTCAAGTGCGTGGGCCAGCGGGCCACTGACTGGTGGGAAATTTTGCTGAGCTGAACACACTGAACATTGATTGATTTCACGCCAGCTCTTCTGCTTGCTTATTTTTAGCGGATATTTTCAGCTAATGGGAAATGTTATTTTAAACGATTCCGCCGTAGCGTGGGTCTTCACTCGACGGTCGATACTGATGCTGTTCGACGGTGGACATTTTCCCCTCCATTGGTTGCGTGTCATGCACAAACACCCATTTCCCATTTCCCATTTTACATTTTCCATTTTCCAAAGCCGCCCCACTGACATGCAGCGCCAGCGCGATTTCAAGGTGACCTAATCCCGCTTACGCTGCGGGCAGGAAGTGCCTTATAAAATCACGATACATAGTTTACGCAATTTAATATTGGTTTTGTCAGTTTGCTTTACTTTGACAATGTGTGTGCAAATTTAAAAATGCGATATATGTATATATATGCAACTTTTTTTTTAAAGAAAACTGGTGTAATGTATTACAAATATGTTTCTTCAATGAATCTTATTTCAATACATTTTTAAATAAAATGTACGAGGAGTATATTTTGTATATCCATTATTTAAAAATCCAACCATATTGTCAATAAACATCCAAAATTATACTTTTCAACCAAAACCAAAATTAGCTAAAAATTAGCACTTCAGTTGAAAATGATCTCAATTTTGGGAGAAATGACTGAAAAGATAAACCTGTTGCATATAAAAAAATGAGAAAAGGTCAAATATATATGTGCAAATAGCTAAAAAAAAATAAAATAAATATTAAACAAAAAAAAAGTTGAAGACAACTATGTAGTACAAGAGTTGCGATTTTAAACCCATTGAGATTAAGATCGGAAGTTTAGATAATCCTTTCAAATTGCTTTCTAACTTTATAGAAAAACCATGTAGAAACTTTTCTTCTTCTTTGTTCTGGGCCATGTTAATGCGAATTGGAATGATCTAATTAATAGATTAAAATAGACAACTTTCGTAATATGATCTTCTACCTCATCTACTTGCAGCCCCTGAACTTGGCGGCCCCAATCCCTTTGGCAGGCGTCGGAAGGCGGAGCCGCTCGGCAGCGGCTGCTGCGGCGGCGCCACCACATGGACCATGCCGTGAAGGCGACTCGCGGCCGCCCGCTCAACACGCTGCGCTTCGAGAACGACGAGCTGGAATGCCTCTACCAGCGGTACACGCTCAAGCTGCAGCGCTTCTCGGTGCTGGGCGTGGTGGCCCTCGTCTTCGTCCTTTGCGGCGTAATGGCGGCCCTGTCGCTGGCCTTCAATAATGCGGCCACCTTTCACGTAAGTATTGTACTGTCCGTTTGGTGGTCGAAAAAGGACCAGTTTATACATAAGTTCAGTGGTGTAGCAAAAGTAGTTTGATGCTGCGGTCAAAATAATTGCAGTTTTTTAGCTCAAGAAAAATTAAATTATTTAAATACCATAAACTAACTAATAATATATTAAAATATGGATAAAATAATTACATACATTTTTTTTGCTTGCAGTTTTACATTTTTTTTATATAAACAAAGGGCAGTGAACGAGGATTTATAGTGATTTTCTTAAAATGTCATACAAGTATTTACTATCACTATTTCAGGAAGTGCTTTCATAGGATTTATTAACACTTTTTATATTTCTTGACTTTAACAATATTTTGTTTATTGCCTTATTGTCGTATGCTTTAAAGGTACGTTTTTTGATAGTTAAAAAAAACAAGTCGGTTTCGAATAAAAGTTTTTAATTCAGCCTTACTTGAAACAAAGTCAGTTTTTGCACACATCTACACGATGGTAAGAACATTTGACCCTGTTTTGTGGGTTTGGTTTTAGTAAGAATTTCGTTTTAATGAAGATAAGATTTTATAGAATATAAAGAAGAAAGTGTATTACTTTTGATCAGGATCAACTGCTGATTAGATTAAACCATTTAGAGTATGGGCTAGAAAATTGATTGCACATTTAAGCAGATCGTATATATTAATTAACTAATTGTTTAAGAGTGGTTTAACATTTAATTAGTGTGCTATAATAAGGGATCTCCATGACAGCTTACTGTTTTCTTTAGTTCTGGGAAAATGTACAAAATTTACTTTAACTAACACCTGATTTTCAATCGGCAATTAATATGTTTGATTTGCTCCCTCCAATCAACCTTAGAACATCTTCAATGCGATCGTGTGCGGCCTGTTCGCGGTGGTGCTGGTGCTGCTGCAGTGCTCCGTGATCAAGGACCACCACCTGCCCACGTTGTGCTACGGGATCCTGCTCTTCACGGCCAGCATCTGCGTGGTGTCGATGCCCACGCTGGGCAGCGTGTTCCCGGTGGACACCAAGGAGGTGATGGCCGAGGGTGTCTGGCAGATCGTGTTCGTGGTCTTCCTCGCCTACGCCATGATGCCGCTGCAGATCTGGGAGGCGGTGGCCTTTGGCATCGCACTGCCCTCGGTGCACATCAGCCTGACGGTCTACAAGATAATCACGGATGCGCTGCGCTACTTGGAGTACAACCAGCTGATCGCCAACATAGTCATCTTCATTGGCGTCAATGTCGCCGGTCTGGTGGTGAACATCATGATGGAGCGCGCTCAGCGACGCACTTTCCTCGATACGCGCAACTGCATCGCCTCGCGGCTGGAGATCCAGGATGAGAACGAGAAGCTGGAGCGTCTGTTGCTGTCGGTTCTCCCGCAGCACGTGGCCATGCAGATGAAGAACGACATCCTGTCGCCGGTGGCCGGCCAGTTCCACCGCATCTACATCCAGAAGCACGAGAACGTCAGCATCCTGTTCGCGGACATCGTCGGCTTCACGGTCCTCTCCTCGCAGTGTAGCGCCCAGGAGCTGGTCCGCCTGCTCAACGAGCTCTTTGGACGCTTCGACCAACTGGCCCACGTAAGTCAGCTCATCCGGAATGATATAGTCATATACTGCAAGACGGAAAACTTAACTGCAGTTTCAGACTTTAGGCTCTAAATGGACTAGTCAATACTATTTTAAACTTACTTTTGAGTATTATAGTAGCTTAAGATTTGATGTACAATTTGATATATAGCAGCTATATCTCTTAAGGGGGAAGTCTGCTAGGCCAAGAGTAAAAACAGGACAATTTTCAGACTTTTTTTCCGAACAAAATATGACTTGTCCAACAAATTAAATTGAACCGTCGTCTTTCTTGTATATTACAAGTTTTAAGTCTCAATACTATATTTTTTGGAATATCTCTATGGGTATATAAACTTCAGCTTTCCTAAGTGTGCTTCCTTTCTTGTACTTATAAAAAGTTATGTCTAAAGAAAAATTTAAATTGTCCTTTCGTATATGGCGAATGAGTACTCAAAATCTATAAGTCGCTATAATATCTAAACTCGAGTTTTGTCAGAAAAACTCAAAAGGGGTTTGAACTAGTTTTGATAAGTAGTTTCAGAATTCGAAGTTGCTCTAAGAATTTTTGTCTTCACTAGTCGAGTTTTATTAGCCCGTATAGTAATACTTATATATAAGCTTTTAGATATAGACTTCATATTTTAATGCATTTTTCCTAATGGTAAAGTGAAGAATACCTTTTTAATTTTATAATAAGGCAATTTTCATTAAGACCACAACTGAATTTGTATGATATAGTGTCCAAATTTAAGAATGGTCTTGTAAGTCTTATTAAAATCTGAAAAATATTATTTACTTTACATATACGTATGTCTATCTTTTTTATCCAGGACAACCACTGTTTGCGGATAAAAATCCTGGGCGACTGTTATTATTGTGTTTCCGGATTGCCAGAACCGCGAAAGGATCACGCCAAATGTGCTGTGGAAATGGGACTCGATATGATCGATGCCATTGCGTGAGTATCTGTTTAATTATAATAATAATGATATAATATGATCCACAGGTCTTAAAACTATATGCACACCAACTTGAGTCATGCCTTAAGTTCTTTGATAATTAAGTAAAATAATTCCGTTGTCTTCCGATTCTGATAAGAGAATACTTGAACATTTTTTAAAAAAATTATTTAAAATAATTATCACATATAAATTGATGGCACAACAAAGTCATGGCTTCCGTTCGTAAGACAAGTTGATTATCAGAATTTGATTTAATTGCGGTGAATTAATTGTTTCCTTAATGTGTGCTTAATTTGTAAAATTAAATACTTAGATTATATGCTTACCGTTGATGGTCTTCTCTATCCAATTAATTATTGAGCAATAAATCAACAAATTATTTGATATAATTATCACATATAAATTGATGGCAAAACAAAGTAATAATCAATTTGATTTAATTGCGGTGAATTAATTGTTTCTTAAATGTGTGCTTCATTTGTGAAATTAAGTACTTCTGAAAGCCTACCTTTTCGTATCAATCGCTTAGGTTAATTGCTCATTAGATAATTTTGTAGCAGCCGTTGATGGTCTTCTCTATCAAATGAATTAAGTCATTTTCACATTTCGCCATATTGCCGTTGCATTGACTGTAATTGAAATCTAATTAGCTCGTCCAATTCCTTCTCGTTCCCAGCACCGTGGTGGAGGCCACCGACGTCATCCTGAACATGCGCGTGGGCATCCACACGGGCCGGGTGTTGTGCGGTGTGCTGGGCCTCCGCAAGTGGCAGTTCGACGTGTGGTCCAACGATGTGACCCTGGCCAACCACATGGAGTCGGGCGGGGAGCCCGGCCGGGTGCACGTCACCCGCGCTACCCTGGACTCCCTCTCCGGCGAATACGAGGTGGAGGCTGGCCACGGCGACGAACGCTCCTCGTATCTGCGCGACCACGGCGTGGACACGTTCTTCATCGTGCCGCCGCCACATCGCCGCAAGGTGGGTACCCATTCAGTTCACATGGATTATTTATCATTGATCCAAAAAATCACATACTGCAGATTCTTTCTAGAACGTATATAGTCTCTTAATGATATCTAATTTGTATCAAGTTATTGCAGCTTTTAGCAAAAGCAGCGAAATAGCGTAGTGCAATAGTTGTTCAATTTATTTCAAACTATGTATTTGCAAGGGGTATGAAAAAAAAGTACTCTTAAATTAATCCTTTCCCCAACGTCCAAAAAAAAAATCTTTAAATTATGGTTTTCTGCCGATCTAATATCTTCACTTATAGGTTTTGTCAAAATTAAAAAAAAAAAAACAATGTTTAAAAACCTATTTAAATGCTGTGATAACTTGGTAAATAAAACAAAAGAAAAATATACGTTTCACAAAGAATCACAAATGTATTCATCACTTGTGTAATAAAGATCAAAGAGTTATAAAAATGTGAATTTAACTATTTGAATCCCTTGGTAGAAATATAAATAAAAAAGTAGATTGTTGTATAGGGGGTCCTTTGTTTACTAATATGTAAGGGGTAACATAATACATAACTATGTTTCCACAAAAACTATTAGTTAAAACTAGAAACCCGATATTATATTTTAAAAAAAAAAGCTTAACAAATAGGAAATTTAAGGATTATCGTTTTTTAACTTTCGTTTATGGTTACAGATTTCTAAGCTCCATGAAATTGTATTTGAAACAAGACAAGAAGCGAACTTCCAGATATAATAAAAATAAAATATTATATTAAACTACTTTGAAACTATGTCGATTAACCGATGATTAATAATATACGTACAGATAAAAAAAACAGCTGAACTATGATGTATTTATTTTTTTATTATATTTCCGATTATGGGAGCTATATGATATAGTCGTTCGAACATTAATAAAATTAAAATTATGATTTTGAAATGTGAAACCATTGCTATATCTTGAAGTATATATATGTAAATTGAGTAAGTTTCATCCATAAAGCTTTTAAACTGAGAGTCTTGTTTGCGTACAAACGGACGGATAGACAGGCGGATATGGGTAGATTAAGAATATACTTTATAAGGTCGGAAATGTCCCTCTCACGGTGTTGCAATCTTTTGACTACATTTATAATACCCTTACAGAGGGAATTCAAAATTGCGACAATAGGAGTAACTTTATCAAACCGTTTTTCTACTATTTTGCTTTGGGGCATTCGAAAAATGTTTGGATAAATGAATGTCTTGATGTTTATTATGAACTTGGATTAAGTTTACCTTCTGGTTTCATTTACAGCCACTGATGCTCAACACGCTGGGCGTGCGATCGGCGATCGGCAGTCGACGGAAGCTCTCGTTCCGGAATGTGTCCAATGTGGTCATGCAGCTGCTGCACACGATCAAGTTCTCCGAGCCGGTGCCGTTCTCCAACATAGCCACCGGATCCTTTCCATCGGCGGCCAGCGCCCTGGGCGGCGGCGTCGGGGGCGGAGTGGGCCTCGGTGGGGGCGTGGCACGGGGAAGCACCTGCGAGGCGAACGCTGGCAGTGTTCAGGTGTCCGAGAAGGGATCGCGCAAGGTAAGTGTGCAAAGTGTTTGGTCTTTGGCAAATCAGCACTCAATCAAAGACGATTCGGGAGTTTCAAAGGTGGGAGTTGAAAGTTGGAAGTTTCGTGTTCCTGTAGCTCGGTTCTGTTCTGTTCGTATGTCGTAGCTCCAGTTCTGTGCATGTCCGGTTGGTTTTTTCGGGGGTTCGGGTCGGAAAATGAGTGGTGGCGATGATGTAGATGATGGTAACGATGGTAACGGTGGTGGTTTTGGGCTCTGGCTTGGTGTGCTTTTCATTTTCCGTACTTTTACTGTTACTATTTTTGTATCCGTTGCCCCGGGAATACACAAATCCGATAGATAGTCGCGGGTAGCTTGATGACGGCGAGAGTCTACTCCTTTTCATTTCTTGCTTTGATTTGTTTCCTTTCGTTTTCTTTCAGGATGCGGTAAGTTTGCCTCGCCTATGTCTAAGTATTTCTACCACCAATCGAAACCCGATTCCGTTAACCGATAACATAACCGTAACCGTTTCCTCCTCAGTTGCGCTTTTCCTCGCTCCCCTTAAGTTTTTGATCGGTTCTCGTTTTCCGTTTCTGTACATTGTGGGCTCTTTTGTTTCGTAGTCGCAATTTATCCTATAAACATATATACTTGTACAAGATTTATATACTTAACTTAGAAAAATTTGTCAATCATTACGCTGTATCTACTAACAATTGTAGTGTAACGCATATTGCAAACGATTCGTTTGCATCAATGTTGTGTGTAGTTTGAATGTAGAATTACTTGGTGTCATAAAACATAAATATATATGTAAATATATTCATCAATTGTGTATCAATTATGCAGTGATATCAACATCAAAACACTTTAAAAGGACTCGCACATTATGACACTATATATAAATATATATATATAAACATTTTTGTTAGCTTCCAGTTCTGTCAATTAATATCGAATAGCAGTGAAAATTTTGAGGACCTATCGAATAAATATATACATTTATTACATAGCATCACATTTTTAAATTGTATTTAAATTTCTTTTATTAATAATTGCGTGAAGTTATTGGTTCTTAAAATCGAAAATGTAGGCATAAACTGTGTCTAGGTATAAAATAAATCACTAGGTTGTTAAATAAAAAATGAAGGTGCTTGAAAATATGCCAAGAAAAATAGGAAAGTCATTTTTTGTAATGAATTCATTTATTTTCCGATTAAAAACGCTGCATACTTTTTAGCATTTTTATAAAGTAATTCAAAGCCCTAGTAATTTAGAATTCCGCATAATGTAGGTAAAAGATCAAAAAGGCTATGCTTTTTAACATAAACGGTGATATTTTCAATGGAAAAGATTGCAGATCCTCTTGTGATTTTATATTCAAATACTACTATACCCAACTATTATGTAGTAGCGCTATTAAACTGCAGCCAGCCGAATTCTAGAATTTTGTTGCAACTATGTTGGATTTTTTATTTTCACTTGATGCGCCTCTTTTCCTCCTTTTCCATCGTTTATTCTTTACCCTAACTATACTTGCCGTTCTATCTTGCTACTGTTTAATTTACCACTCTAGCTTAAGTAACACTCTTTATTTTGAAAATGTAAATATAAGAACTTACTTGAAAACTGTGTATTGTGTATACTTCTCCGATCCAGGTGATACGTCTGCAAAAGATCTTGCATGCAACACCGCCACCGCATGGCATGAACTATGGCAGCGTCGTCGGAAGTGGCGGCGGTGGTGGTGGCGGTGGTGACGGTAATGGCGGTGGCGGTGTTTCCGGTGGCGGTGGCGGCATTTCCGGCATTGCCGGTGCCGCAAGTGGGGGCAGTGTTCAAGTGACCGTAGGCACAAATCCCAACTCTACAGCGAGTACGATTAGTCGCATTCATAGGCACAATCACAAGAACAATAAAGTGAGCAGAGAGCAGCAGCCAAAAAAACATTCTATAAACTTTCGTTACAACCTGCGTTCTATCGTTCGTTCGTTCGTTCGTTAATTAAAGGTCTCTCTATAAGAACTGAGTTATCATCTGAGTTTTTGTTTTATTTATTTATTTGTATTTCTCGTATACTCGTAGATGAGAACTTAAATCGCTTATAAAGAGGCCTTCAATTTGTGTTTCGTCCATTCACATTCGTTCAATAAATGTGTTAAGTGTAACTACTTCATAAGTGTGCTTTGTTCATTCGTTATTTTGCTCGAATTTTGTTTCTGGGAGGGCTTCCAGGCAAAAATTCTTCATGTTCTAGCTATGTCCCTTTTCGCTTTGTTTAAGCTGCAAGACACTGAACCAAAATGTTCCTAGAATTAGCAAATTATTAAAAAAAATAAAAAACAAAAAAATATTTTAGATATTAGCGGAATACTAGAGAATCCTTGAAGGTTTAAAGTTTATATAGCAGGGAGTTTAGAGGGTAAAACACCATCTTAAGTAAGCTTAACCGAAAAATGTTTTTATTAACTAAAGATAAGCTGTGGTTATATCAACCATTATTTGTAGCGTAAAATGTAGCCATATTTGTTATATTTGAACCCTATGTAAATATAGTAGATTGTCTATAGCAAATTAAAAGAAACAAAGCTCTTAAACCACAGAGTAAACAAAAAACCTTATAAAATATTTGGAATATATATCGGTTAATTTAATATTATTAAATAGCATTACATAAAAAAAAATAGACAAATAAGGACATTTTTTGTAACCAAAGCATGGTAATATTTTTTTCTTTACGAATTATCTAAGTTTTTTGAGTTGAAAAAAAAAACATGTACCTATAGTATATTTTTATATTATTTAATTTTAATTTTTGAGTTGAAATACACCAAGGGGCTTTAAAGTTAAATTAAGGTGGCTCTGTATGTCATGATGAACATTAGTAGCTGAGTTTATTTCCGGTCCTAGGCCAAGATCATCTATTTGGTTCAGTGTCATCATCGAGCTTGAAAAATGCCAACTGAAGCTGCACATTTTCATTCACCATTCGACATCCGGAGTGCATGTTCCGAGCACATCCTCAAAAGTCTTGACCTGCCCAGCATGCATGGTGCAATGTCCCAGCTCTGCTCGCTGCCTTTCGGCTCTCAGTTCTCAGTTCACCGTTCACAGTTCTCAGTTCACCGTTCACAGTTCTCAGTTCACAGTTCTCAGTTCCCAAAACGTGATTCTCAGTTGTGAGCATGTAGTGAGTCGTGGCCACATACCCACAGCACATACGTAGCGCTTTATATCTTTAATCTTATTTCTTGAATCTTCAACTCAACCAGAGCCAGTTCAAGTGCCACGTTCAGCCATCCAGCTAAGAAGAAAGCGAGCGGGCAGCACAACCACAACTAACGAATGTCTTTCTATTATCTTGCTCCCTCTTGCATGGCTTTCCATCCCGCAACCGCATCCGCATCCGGATTTGCATCTGCATCTGCATCTGCAGTCGCAGTCGAAGGTGGCGGACAAGTTCAAGCGGCCGTTCCGAAAGCGGCATTCGGTGGCCGCCCATCATCAGCCCACCAACCGGGTGAACAGATTCCTCTCGCAGGCGATCAATGCCCGGTCGGTGGACTGCGACAAGTCGGAGCATGTGGACCGGCTGACCCTGCGCTTCCGGCAGAGCGACATGGAGCGGGAGTACCACAAGGACTTCGATCTGGGCTTCACCACGGCAATGGGCTGCTCCCTGCTGCTGCTCATCCTGGGGGCGGCCCTTCAGGTGACCGCCCTGCCGCGTACCCTCATCCTGCTGCTGCTCTTCCTCACCGCCTTCATCTGGGTCAGCGCCATCCTGATGCTCCTGCTCGCCGTGCGCCTCAAGTGGATCATCTGGGACATCTCGGAGAGCTTCTCGCTGCGCATGGCCATAACGATTTTCACCGTCATTCTCATCTACTCCGTGGGACAAGTGAATGTGGTGAGTTACCAAAGCGAAATTAAAGTAAAAAACAAATAAAAATAATAATAAAAATAAATAAATATGTTAAAACAAAGCAAAAAATAACTATAACATTTGAATATAGGTAAATTAGTATCAGCATAAAGTCAGATCATTCTTATGACAATCTAACTAGTATTTTGACCGATAATGTTTTGATTTACAATAAAAACAACAAAAACAAGAAGATTCATTTTTCGAAACCTTTATTTCATTATCCTGAATTTAATATTCTCTTTCGTTAGAATCACAAACTCTTTCTCTAAAAACATATATATAAATGTATATGCATTAATTTTTGAAAACAACTAGACTTTGAAGTAATGATTTAAATTAAACTAACTCATTTAAATGTATAAAAAAAGATGTTTTGTAAACCTTTAAGCATTTTAGGTTGCTTAGATACGAAATGGCAGACGGACATCGTTATATCACTTGGAGTATATCTATTTTCGATATACACATGTACATATATGTACATGGTCGTACGTGTCTCTTTCACCGTTGCAAACTTTCGACTGAATTTACATTTATAAACCTCTGCAGGAGTAAACAAATTGGATAATCGAAAAAATGCAGTAGAAATAAATACAAAATAATCAAATTTTTACCTACTTTCACCCAGTTCACGTGCGTCTCGGACCATCCCTGCTCGGGAAATGGGACCGCCTCCTACCAGAGCGACTCCCATCGCAAGTGCTCGCTGCCCCAGTACGTGTCCCTGTCGGCTGCCTTTGCCTTCCTATCCGTGTCCGTGTTCCTTAGGTGAGTGCATACCCATATCCGCATATCCCCATATCCGCATATCCGCATTGCTAATGCTAATCCTTGATTGCCACGTTTTCAGGCTACCCATAATATTCAAATCGCTGCTGGTGCTCGGCATGGGCACCATCTACGGATTGTTCATTGAACTGTCCCATCAGAACATCTTCGAGTGCTACGACAACCGGGTCAAGTAGGTCATCGCTAATTTTGGCTGTCCCACTAATCTACTAATATACTAAACCATTCTTTTCGAACTACTCCCATTGCAGCGCCTCGATTCCACTTCACTTGATCTCGCTGGCCCGCATCGCCATCTTCATGATTGCCATTCTGGTGCACGGACGCCTGGTGGAGGGCACTGCCCGCCTGGACTTCCTCTGGCAGCTGCAGGCCTCCCAGGAGAAGAAGGAGATGGACGTGCTGCAGGAGTCCAACAAGCGTATTCTGCACAATTTGCTGCCCGCTCATGTGGCTGCACATTTCCTCGATGCACAATTCCGCAACAATATGGTGAGAAGTCGCATTTTAGCCTACCCATTGACCCACTTACCAATCTAGAAAGATTAATGCAAAAACTAGGAGGAAAGACAAGCTTTAATATCCTTGGAATCAGTATCTATATATGAGTACATATATGCATTCACCTTCTTTGTCTTAAAATTAATTCTACTTTTATTTATGTTTGAATTAGAAAGAAAGATCAGTTTCGGGAACCAAATTTATAATACTCTTGAGACCAATATATATATATACATATCTTTCTAAATCGCATTACACAAAAACCTTCATGGTCTGAGATCGATTTTTTACCAATTTGTAAATTATCAAAACAAAAGTCTGTTTAACAGAATAAACAGAAACAAATTTAGTGAACATTCCATTTTTTACCATTTTATTAATAACTTAAACTTAACTTAAACTGAAATAAATCAAAATTATCTTAATTGTTGGTTTTTCCAAGCTTTTATTAAAAAATTTTGACAGTAATCGTTTCAAAGCAAACGTAGCAAAAACTTAAAACTAAAAATTGTATTTATAATAAAAACAAATTAATGTAATTAATTTTCTAACTTAATTAAAATGTTAATAACTAAAATAATGTATATAATGCGGAATGGAAAGAAGCTTTAATACATAAAGAAATGTATAAATTGAGAGTGGCTTGATCAATGTCGCTAAATTATTTTTTATAGTTGTTCGCAATTGCCGGGAGAAGATATTTATAAATAAAGAAATGTTGGAAGAACCCTTGCTTCGGCTGTTGTTATATATATTATATATAATACATATATATATTATATATTTTATGAATAGAACCCTTGCTTCGACTGTTGTTATATATGTATATATATATATTATATATTTTATGAATATATTTTTATATTTCGTTCTATTCTTTACAGGAGCTTTACCATCAGAGCTATGCCAAGGTGGGCGTCATCTTCGCCAGCGTGCCCAACTTCAATGAGTTCTACACGGAGATGGATGGCTCCGATCAGGGCCTCGAGTGCCTCCGGCTGCTGAACGAGATCATCGCGGACTTTGACGAGCTGCTCAAGGAGGACCGCTTCCGGGGCATCGACAAGATCAAGACCGTGGGCAGCACCTATATGGCCGTCGTGGGCCTCATTCCCGAGTACAAGATCCAGCCCAACGATCCCAATTCGGTGCGTCGCCACATGACTGCGCTCATCGAATATGTCAAGGCCATGCGGCACTCGCTGCAGGAGATCAATAGCCATTCGTACAACAACTTTATGCTGCGAGTGGGTAAGTCTGCTTTTTATTTTTCTAATAACCTTTGAAAATGAATACAGCTTGCTTAAAATGTGATTTTATGAAAGGTTCTAGTGAAAAGGCTTACATTTTCGTGTTCGAAACGCGCTTTGTTATTTCTGTTACTTCGGTTATTACAACTTGATTAACTAGTTAAAAGTACATTTAGCTGAAATTAAAAAGCATTGCAAATATTGATTATTAACGCGCTTTTTGAACAAAAATCAATCTCTAAGAATCGGCATAGAAAAGCAATTAATTCTGTGTATCCATCATGATTTTTAAATATTCCTTTTTTGCTATATTCTTTAAGAATTTAAAGAGTAGTTATTGTTAAAAAATACAATAATAAATAATAAATCTCAACCAAAAAAAAAAAAAATAATAAATAATAATAATAATAAATACGATTTATATAGCCTTTGGTCAAAATAAAACTTATTTAGCGCTGCGTCATCTTAGTATAATTTAGATTTTCGAACATTTTTGTCCAGTGAATCTTGAAATTCTTTCATTTAAAATGTGTAAAGCAAGCAAGATTAAATGTCACATATTTAATTTTTTTTGTCATGTGTCATTTTGTGTTAAAAAAAAATGTACTTGTTGTTGTTTTATCAATGTAAACAAATTTCACAAATGTATTTTAAGCTTTGTGTGTGATGTTTTAAAACTATATTTAAAGGCATTCAAAATAGACTAGTTGACATTCCTCTTGATAAACTCTTAAAATATCCGAATCTGAGAGCAGTGCACCCCTGACCTCATGCAATTACAACTGATCCTGATTTTCCTTTATCCGCCACATAATAGGTATCAACATTGGACCCGTTGTGGCGGGCGTAATCGGAGCCCGGAAGCCGCAGTACGACATCTGGGGCAACACGGTGAACGTGGCCAGTCGCATGGACTCCACCGGAGTGCCTGGCTACTCGCAGGTGACCCAGGAGGTGGTCGACAGTCTGGTGGGCTCGCACTTTGAGTTCCGGTGGGTGTGAGCATTCAGGGCATGATCTATTTCAGTTTCTGATTGAACGCCTTCCATTGCAGATGTCGCGGCACCATCAAGGTGAAGGGCAAGGGCGACATGGTGACCTATTTCTTGTGCGACAGTGGCAACAAGTCGCTCAACGGCGAGGTGCGCAACGCCATGTCGCTGCCGCAGAGTCTCCATGCGCCGGACTACTACATGAAGGTGTCGCAGTTCCCGGAGAACCGCGTCAACACCGACACCTACAGCAAGAAGGAGAATGGCCATCTGTACGCCACTGGCACCGGTGGCGAGGAGCAGCAGCTACTGCTGCAGCATCAGCACAAGCAACACGATCCGTTGCCGCTTCCGGCGCCCCCGCCTCCGGTGGTGCATCACCATCTGCATCAGCAGCAGCAGCAACGCTTGAACAGCAAACTCCAGAAGCAGCCGATCTTCATGGCCAACGGTGGACTGCCCAATATTCGGGAGAATGGCAATGGCCACAATGGTCACAATGGTCACAATGGTCACAATGGTCACAATGGACACAATGGCGATCAGCAGCAGCAACAGCAGCAGCAGCACGGTGGCTTCACAACGACACCGACGGCTGCAGTGGCGGTTCCCCTCCAGCAACTCCAGCCCCAGCACCACCAACTCCAGTTCCAGAGCCACAATCAGCATCAGCACCCCGTTCCAGTGCAGCACCAGATCCTACTCCACCACCAGCTCCAACTCCAGCATCAGCAACAGCAACAGCATCTGCACCAGCCCGTTCCCACTTCGGTAATGTTGCGCGAGTTTAATATCATTGAGAATCCGACTCCCGGTGGCCGGCATCCGAAAATGGAGCAGCTGCCGCCGCATCACGGCAGCCTCGACCTAACCGGGATGGGAATGGGCATGGGAATGGGCACGGGCATGGGTATGGGAATGGGTGTGGGTGTGGGTGTCGGAGCTGGCGTGCTCAACGGCGGCGGCGACTGCTTCATGATGCCACGGCGAGATCGAGATCGAGATCGCACTTATGCGCCGCCCTTAAACCAGCATGGCCATTATCCACCACCGCATCACCTCCATTCGAATCTGAATTTGAATCATAATCAGAATCAGAATCAGAATCAGAGCCAGACTCAAAGCCAGAATCAGAACCTGAACCAGAACCAGCATCCGCCATCGTTCACCAGCCTGGGCTATGGCCACTGCCGGGAGAGCGAGCCGCTATTGCATGCCAGCAGCGTCGCACCGGTAGCCAAGGTGAGTGAAGACGCCGACCACCAACTGTTCTGGAGCAAGGAGATCCTCCTCTGAACAGCCAGCACCATCGCCTTGTCCCGCCTCCAGTAACCAGAATAAGTAACCAGACCCAAACCAAGACCCATATCCATATCCCATTCGTAACTAACACCCAAGAACCAGAATAGACTTGTATGTATGTATGTAGTGGAGAAATGCTTTTACCGATCGATGAGTTGTACCTTTACAATGTTACGATACATAAATCATCTGAAAGTTGATGAAGAAAACAAGAACTTTTTTAAATTTGAAATATCTTTGCACTAAATTTGGTTTAAATCAGTTGAATGTTAGGCTTTCTTTGAGCTTAAATTTAGAAGAGAATGTTAACACTTTGTTGCCTGTAGCCAGCAGTGGGCATGAAAGGGTTAAACGTCAATAATTATTAAAATTTAAGTTAGACTGAGTCCTATATTTTTTTGTGGCCAGTATAAATAAATTAAAATAAAAGATCAAAGTTTTAAGTGCTTTAAATATAACAAAAATCATTATTTCCACCGAGTAAATTATTTTATTTTATGTTTGCACTTTTACCTCAAGTGAATTAATGAACTTACATTTAAATTCCACTTCCAAAGCTCAATTTAGTAAATCGAACTCAAGTTTGGACATTTGCATAAAGCAGTTTAGCTAATTTAGATAGGGATTTACAAAATTGAAATAAATGTATGCATACCAGTCTGTTCTTGATGCTTGACAGAACCAACCCAGAAAGAGTCCACAGCCACAACTCTTGCCCCGAATATATATCCACTCCTTATATATACATATGTATATATATATATATATCTGTGTCTAACTCTCTGTGTCCACTCTCTGCATGCCCATGCACATCTATCTTTCTCTCTCGCTTGCTCATCTCCGACTAACCACGCCCCCAGATCATGCCCATGCAGCATGCGCCAAAGTACGAGCCACCACGTTACACTTCTCCCCACACCGTGTTGTCGCACCAGCAGCAGCATCAGCAGCAACAGCAGCAACAGCAGCAACAGCAGCAGCATCATCCTGTCCAGGATCAGCAGCAACAGGCACATCCCGCCCAGCAGTACGCCATGTATTCGCAGCAGCCGCAGCTGCCGCCGAAACCGGCGCTGAGGACGTACATGAAGCCGCTGCCGAAGCTGCCGGCCGCCGATCTGGAGGAGAGCAGGGAGATGTCCTCGACGGACGACCTCAGCTCGCGCCCGCACTCGCCGTCGATGAGCAGCTCGGATGAGAGTTACTCGAAGACCACCGAGGGCGAGGGCGAAGGCGACGAGGATTCGCCGCGCATCCCCAATGGTGGCGGCCATCATCTGCACCGCAATGGTTACCACTTGCCCTCCGGTCTGGTCAATCCGCTGCAGTGGCTCTATCCCTGCGACATTCAGGTGGATCCCACCTCGCCGGTCGTCGACATGGCCGCCCAGCTGACCAGCCACGACTTCGAGCTGAGCTCCACCACCGAGAGCCAGGGTCAGCACACCACCAGCAACACCACGAGCAACACGCAACACAAGGGCGACAGCTGCAACAGCTTTGACTACCAAAAGGCAGCCGCCGCCGGAACGGGCGTCGGCGTGGGCGTGGCCGTGCCCATTGCCACCAAGTCGCCCTTTGAGCGGGAACTGCAGCGCCTGCTCAACGAATCGTCGAGAGCCCGTTGTTTGGCGACCACGACGGGAACGGCAACGGCAACGGCGACGGCCATCTCCACCACGGATCACACGGCCAGCAATGGCAGTCGCGAGATGAGCTACTCCCTTAGCAATGGCAAACTCAGCTCCGCCAATGGGCATGGATCCGGGTCGGGATCGGGTTCGGGTTCGGGATCGGGATCGGGCTCAGGATCGGCGGCGGGCAACGGCTGCGGCGGCAGCGGCGGCAGCGGCAGCAGCAATGGCAATCTCAGCGGCGGCAGCGGCAGCAATTCGAACAGTGGCAACAACAACAGCAGTCACCACAAGGCGGACCAGCAGCAGCAACAAGTGGACCACGAGCTGCTCCATTCCGGTGGCAAATTGCCGGGCAGCAACAGCTTCATGATCGCCAAGCACCCGGTGGGCTTGGAGGCCATCAAGGAGATAACGCGCAACAAGAATCCATCGGAGTCAAGCCAAATGTGAGTAGACCATGGATCAGTGATGGTGAAGAGTATCCTACTATAGGTAAAGTGAAAGGAATTTAAATATCCTACCCAAAATGATGATCGCAGAAAGAAGTACATCTTTGGGTATTTTTTTTTGTTTATTTATTTTTTTTTTGTATGCATAAAAAACCATTCTTCCTAAAAGTATTCGTATAATAACTATATATCACAAAGAATCCTAGAAAAAATAACATCATCTAATAATTTTAGCTTTTATAACAAATTATGACCTCAGAAAAAAATAATTAAATTTAATTTAAATTAATTTAAATTAATTAATTAATTTAATTAATTTTTTTAACCATTGTTAATATTATGAGGAAACAAAGACTAGTCGAGTCCATTGTTTTTGAGATTTTTAACCATATGTTGATTTCTTGAGATTTATGTTTTTTTTAAACACCCTATAAAGAAAAATAGTTCACCCTTTAAATTATATTATTGACTTGTAAATAAGTTTTCTTTTATTAGCTTATAAATCCTACCTAGTCAGGATATCTTCCCCATCACTGACCATGACGACAGACAGCTTCCATTCCATGTCATATGGTGTAGGTTCGCCGCTTTCATAACCGGTGTGTGGGTGGCCCCAAATTGTTCCTAAATATAGCTCCTAATAATCGTGTATGCAGCAACCTTATCCAATGGAGCGAATGTGACTATTGCAGGCAAACCTCGGACACGGAATCCTGCGAGATCCTGCACGAGAATCGCAGCCAGATGCATGTGCTGGCCATGCTGGACATGCACCCGTCGAAGGAGCTGAACGGCAGTCATGTGCACCCAGTGCAGCATCCCCAGCAGCAGCAGCAGCATCAACATCCACATCCACATCCACAGCAGAGGGCGCATCGCCAGCGACCGCGCTCCAAGGAGCTGCAGTACAGCCACGAGAGCCTGGACGGACTGGATGGAGCGGTGCAGTCGCAGTCGCAGCAGCGCCACCAACGCTACCACCATCACCACCACCACCATCACCACCAGCATCACCAACAGAGGCAGCTGCAGCAGCAGCAGCAACAACAGCAGCGGTACAACCATGTGCAGGAGCAGGAGGAGCGTGACGACACCGAGGACAACCTGGCCGACGAGGAGTTTGAGGATGATGAGGTGGGACACGATGTGCGACAGAGGCGCCTTCAAAAGCCGGACCTCAGTCACAAAAGGACGGAAGCTGGAGCAGATGCGCAGCATGAGGGGGATGAGGACGACGATGATGATCAGGATGAGGAGGAGGAGGAGGAGGACAACCATCGGGACGGAGGGCACAGGGAAGCGGCGCCGCTAACGAATGGCAGCATGCGCGGCTTGGAGGCCAATGTGATAAACGACGAGCTAAAGTACGGAGCGGCCCATCTCAACCACCAGTCCATGGACTCCAATCCGTTGGAGAGCCAGTCGGAGTGGTCGGACGACGATTGCCGTGAGGAAGCGACAGGTGAGAGCAAAGTCCCCAAACATTTTGGTACCCGTTAGTCGTGGAGGAGAGGGAAAAATATATATATAAAATATATATATTCTTTGACCAGGTCCGACTGTCTGTCTGTCCGTCTGTATAACTAAAAAGTCCCAGAGATTTGAAATTTAAGAGGCAGATACTAGTGCACCCTACTAGCGCAAGTTTATTTCAAAAATTCTGTCACACTCACTATAACGCTCACAAATAGTATAACTCTGTCCTTTCACTAATTTTTTTGAGGTATTTGATTATTAGGTTAATATCTATTGACACACCAAAAATTTAACCATTATTTTTTAAGTTATGAGGAGTTCATATACATGAGAGAGCTTTAGAGAGCGAAATAACTGTTGATGGGAGGCGGTGGTTCTGCTCGTTTTTTTTTATTGTCATATTGACTATTGACCCTGCAGTTCGGCAGATGGCGCCACCCAAAAATATATTTATTTTGAAATTGGTAAGATGAGTAACGGGCGAAGTTGGATAAGGTACTAGTCTTATGGATCTAGGTACAAGGTATTTGAAAAAATTAGTACTTTGGCAATGTAAAACACATGTTTTCAAGTATCTAGTTAAGGTAAAAGGTACAAAAAAGGAAAAAGAAACACATTGAAATTCAATTTTTTTTTAAATGTAATCATGTTGTGGTCAATAGGTTAATTAGGTTAATTATGTTATTTTGTATAAGCTCTGGCTATTAAATCAGACTAGTAGAAACTTGTACAAAGAGTCATTATTATATCTTGCTTATGCGAAGTAAGTAACCTATCTTCAAGTTGTAGTGAAATTATGCTATTTTTTAATTAGCACATTTCCGAAATTAATACGAAATTAAATTTAGTGGTATCAAGCAAAATTAAAAACAAAAATAAATCAAAATATTTCAGTACCAAAATATCTATAAGAGCGTTATCTTAAGATAAAAGAAATCTTTACCTATGTAAGGTAAAAGGTAGCGTGATATTTGATGTACCTGGTTTAGGTATAAGGTACCAAGACTGATAATGGGTTTCTAACAGTCGTGGCACCCGACTATAGCTATTTTTATGCATTACTTATGTTTTCCCACCCTCAATTTTTTTAGGTGGAGCCGAGTCAACGGGATACATCACCGATGAGCCCGGACTGGAGAACATCTCGCTGCTGAACGAAGCCGGCCTCACCGATGCCGAGGGCGCCCTCTCGGACGTTAACTCGCTGTATAACGCGCCGGACGTGGACGACACCTCGGTGTCCAGCCGGGCCAGCTCCCGCCTGCTCAGCCTGGACTCGCTGAGCGGCCTCTACGACTGCGACCTGGACTCCAAGCACGAGCTGGCCATTGTCAATGCCTCGCACAAGATCTCCAGCAAATTTGGACAGCCTCCCTCGCCGGCACAGCAACATCAGCAGCAGCAGCAGCAGTCTCAATCCCAAATACAAACCCAATCGCATTTGGCATCGATAAAGGTTCAATCAGCCGAGGAGCTGAGAGAGTAAAGATTGAAAGCTTATGCAAGAAGAGGGAGCGTTAAACACTCAAACGTTGTTATTGCTATATGCAAATGGTGTCTAATAATTTACAAAAAACCAACCTAAACTAAAGTAAACTAAATCTAGAATAGGTGACAGATATATATATATATATAGCAGAGGCACTTAAAGCTGCTCTATGGCACCCTTAAATGTAAGCCCGTTCGCTTAACTGTGGCTAAATCGTGCCCAGTAGATATTAACTCATATATACCTATATAGTATATAGTTTATGCAAAAAAATCTATATATGTATTGAGAGTAAACACGTAGTCATTGGTTACTTGTCGCCAATTGGCAAGTTATGCGTTCCAGTTACTATACCGCGTGAATAATTAAAAAAATCGAAATTAAAATTGATATTTAGCCGCAACTTCAGATACCCAATGCTAATCCCATGAATTCGTCATTTAGTGCGCTTAGTCCTCCTAAGGACTTATTTGCGGCAGGGCAACGCAGCTAGACGTCCCCTGTCCAGTCCCTTAAGTTATTAATGTACGAATATATATATGTGTATATGTGTCATTTTGATAATCGAATAAGCAAAGATTTGGCCATTCATACGAAGCCACAACCAATGCATGACAAGCTGTAAATAAAACAAAATGTTATAAATATTTTTCCGATATTATTGTAAGGCTAAATTGGCCATAGACTGCGCCACCATGAATTCGAATTTTGAATTGAAATTGAAATCGAAACCGAAACCGAAAAATCTCATCGATTGAGACCAAGTAATTCGGATAATCATATTAAAGTCCTACGTGAAAAATACGTAACCTCTCCCATTTGTTGGTTTTATATTTTTTTTTTTTTTATGGTTTTGTCGACCTCCGCGCCAAGCGTCTTTGACTTTCTACGTTGCCTACTCTTGGGCTCAACCACAAACTGGCTTACACTTAGCTTTTGTATTCCAAATATGATGTTGCGAATTTTTAGTTTAAGTTCCAGAGTGCTAGACGGAGTGACTTAAAGTGTACTCCATCTCTGTTGGCTGCTGCACAATTGTCAAATTTCATTTGCTATGCTAATTCAGTGCATTCGTCTGTAAGATCTGTATATAGAATATTCGAGATGATAGAAGAAATCATATGAACATGATTTACAATTAATAGGTATTTAAGATGCAGAGACAAAAATATTCTTGATATTGTTGCCCCGATCCCAATAACCGAAACCGAAACCAAACAACACCAAGCAAAAAAAAAAAAACTGAAACAAAATCTATTACATCTGTGCAAATGATAAATAAGAAAATGTAAACAAACAAATCCATATTTTGTGTGTAAAATTTATAAAGTCGCCTTGGGAGCGCCAAATATTATCAATTAAACAAACAAACAAACTACACGAAAGCAACAAGATTAACGATAAAAGCAACAACAACCACAGCTACTGCAAGAACTGCAAACAGCCCACAGATAAACTTCTTATGCAAATATAAACACAAATATATAAACATCAAATATATATGTACATATAAATGAAACTGAGAACAAGCTGGAATAAATATCTATATATATATATATATATATATATATATACATTCATATGATTGTACACAGAGGCAGACAGGAAATTGGACCTAAAGAATGGTATGCAAGTATATTTATTTTTCTGTACTAAAAAAAAGTAAATGGTAATGAATTAAATATTATATGCAATGACAGCCATCTGTCTATATCTACACAAAATAATGGTGGGTAGGGCCTTATAAAAAGAACATACAAGTTCTGAAGGCAGATTGTGGACTCATTTTGAATTTTTAAATGCAATTATCAAGTTGGCAGAATTGCATAATCAGGACTGTTCCGAATTCCGAGCGCAAGTTAAATCGAAACTTGTTTAAATTCCCCTTTAAGTTTGCCCCTTTTCTTATGATTAACTGGCATAAAATAAATCTTTAAAAAGGTACTTATTTTTTCACTTATCCTTTCCTTCGCTCTCGCTAAAATGCTTGAGATAAGGACGAACTGATTATATTATATAATTTGTATCAATTTGTATTTTACAAAAGTACAGGTAATATTTTCAAGTTAATTTTTTACACAATGTTCCAAATTAATGAATATATTTTTGTTTGAATTGAGAGTTTTAAGCCCGATAAAAAGCGGCAAATTGATTGGTTGATTCTTTAAAAAGCAAAAATGGGAACATATTAGAGAAATTCCGTACGTCTTTTTTTAATATGGAAAGTGGAACAGGCCTGTTTGTATAAGAAAAACCCTACTAGAAATACATAAAATGTCAGCATATCAAATATGTCGAAAAAAAATATATATATACAAAAATAAAAACATGTGTGTGTGGATGTAATTTATTTGGTAATGGAAGCATGCTCTCTCAAGCGTTAAAAATGCTCATAAAAATGACGGTATGTATTGGTTAAATATTTAATTAATAGGTATATTTGAAGAAATGTCTCATATTTGTTTGACTATAAAGATGTTGGCCGACGTCTAGCAATAGTTTTGTCCAATGACCACAATCAAAGCCTTTTATTTTAATTTAACTTAGGGGTGCTCGTAACAGCTGGGCAAATATGTGGACCACACTCCAAGACTGCTTGGCAATTTGGCTTTGCACTTGATCTATAGGCTTTTGTCTATTTTGCATTTTACTCCGCAGTTGGGCCAACATTCGACTGCTGGAGGAGGGTCATCACGACACGTGCCGGACGTTCTATTTGTTGCAATGTGTACTTATAAGGGATGCTACATGTCTAAATTTTCGTCCCCGCAATAGAAGAATACACATTGGTGGTTGAAAATGGTTTTTATTATTTTTCACAAGTATTTTCATTAGTTTGGGCAAATTTTAAAGCAATTTTTTTTTGGTTCGTAATGGGGTAAGAACAAAACACATATTTTCGAAGCATTCAAAACATCTTCTTGCATTACAAATTTTAATTTTGGGCATGAGAAACATGATTCATTGGGACATCAACAACTTTTTAAAAAATAAAAAAAATACAAAATTTTAATAATAACTTAACTACATTATTTTCTGACAAAAAATCTCGATTTTAGGAAACAAAGAAATATTTTTGGGATTCACATGTCCACGCATTTGGGTTTGGTTGGTTTAAAATCACAAAAGGCATTATGTTAAGACTAGAAAAAGTATGCTAACATTTTACAAATGTGAGTTAAACGCATCTACATTAGATATCCAGCATATGTAATGGTTTAAAAAAAAAACCAATAATGAAGTTAAATTGTTTTGTTTATTTGTTAACAATCATTTACTCATTGGGTTTTTCCATAACTTAATGAATGCCATTTTCTTTAAGGGCGTTTCGGTATGTATAATCATTCTTCTGTATATAATAGATTAAACAAAGGAACGTCTGTTTTTTGTTTTCCCTGATTTTTTTTCTGCGTTACTCATTAATATCTCTCATAACATCTTGTCACTTTGAAAGACAATCAGTGAAGGAACCTCAGGTGGTTCCCGCAGACATGCTTGTTTATCACACCGATCGCATGACGTCTTTGGGGGAAGGAATGGTGGGCTGGGGTGGAGTGGAGTGGACTCGACCCGTTACACATTTTAGCACCCCGCACAAAGGGGGCGGCAGACTCGGCTGCTACAAATGAGACACTCTGGCGGTAAATATTTAATCAAATGTTGATAAAAAACAACTCCTCAGCCACCATAAAAGCCAGTGGCCCGGTGGAAAAGGCCAGCAATCAGATCTGGGAATAGAAATGCGCAACACCGTGATCATCGTCTGCCTATCTCTGGCACTGGGCATCGCCTCCGCCACCGACTACTGCAAAAAGAGCTGCGGCGGCACCAAGAATCTGGGCTGCGACAATCTGGGGGTAAGTTATCCTTCATCAGCAGGTCTTCCATTGATCATTTACGGTGTCAAAAAAAATTTTATTTAACATTTTAGGTACAATTTTTTAAAATTTTTTAAAATTGTACTTTTAAGTAAAACGATTGGTAATAAACAAATAATGTGTTAGTTTATGTTGTTTATCTAAAACTGTATTGAAAATGGTCTTAAATATTTTCTGTTAAGTTACAAATATTAATATTAAGCCGATTAATATTTGAATTCATTAATTAATTAATGTTAAACGCTGTCCTTTCTAAGATCAAGTTAAAATTAATCAGAGCTTTTTTTTATCTTACATTTAATTTAAAAGTATCTTAATATTTGTTTGATAGAAATAAGCTATAAATAGGTAAAATTACATTTAAATATGTAAAAAGATCGCTGTAATATAATATTATGATATGAAATGCTTTACAGAAACGTGTTGAAAATGGTATTCAATTGTTCAAAGTACCCCAAAACTGAACCTTTTTTCTTAAGAAAACAAAAAGCAAAAACACTTATTACACAACATCAGAAGATAAATACGGGATGTGTTGTTTGTTAAATATTTGTTTTGTGACGCCAACAGATATATTGCTTTCAAATATGTACTTAATTTCAACCGATAAAAGTTGCATAAACGACTGTTTTATTGCGATTTGATTTTGGACGGTCAAAATATTAACTTAACAGCTACATAATGCAAAACGCAAAGTTATGTTTAAACTAAACTAAATAATACAAGTACAGAAGCAAATACAAACAAAATCAAAAGTTTATATACCCTTACAGATATTGCAATAACTAAATATTCCTTAAAACATCTAAATTTCGATATGCGTGTATGTTTAAAAAATGTGAGGCTATTCTTAGCTTAATTTTTCGATTGTTCCTATGGCAGCTATATGAAATCGTTTTCCGATTTTACTAAAATAAGCGTAATTAAAATATATTAAAGTTTATATTAGGAAAATGAAACTTGCAGTTAATTTTTAAATAATAACCGATTTATAGATAAATATGTAATTATTTTTATTTTGATGTTTTTGCAGACCTGGGACTCGAGCTGCCCCAGTGACGCCGCCCTGTTGACCTTAACCAGCGTGCAGAAGGAGGCCCTGGTGAACAGGACGAACGAGTACCGCAACATTATCGCCGGAGGACTAAATGCGAACTTGAGTGCCGCCTGCAGGATGTCCACCATCAAGTGGAACGACGAACTGGCCTATTTGGCCAGTTTGAATGTGAGGAGCTGTGCAATGCGCCACGATGGATGTCACAACACGGATGCCTTCGACTGGTCCGGTCAGAATCTGGCCTGGATGAGCTACTACGATCCGTTGAATGTGACTCACTATGTACAGTGGGGCGTGGATATGTGGTACGGCGAGGCGGTCTACACCAAGCAGAGCTACATCGATGCCTATCCCGCGAACTATCAGGGTCCGGCCATTGGCCACTTCACCGTACTGGTCGCCGATCGCAACACGGATGTGGGCTGTGCCGCGGCCACCTACTCCGTGCCCGGGAAATCCTACAAGGCCTTCCTCCTGGCCTGCAACTACGCCGCCACCAACGTCCTGGGCATCAAGATGTACAGCTCGTGCTCCACGGCGGCCAGCAAGTGCACCACCGGCACCAATCCCAGCTACAAGTATCTGTGCAGCGACAAGGAGGTCTACGACGTCAACAATCTTTTCTATTAGGCCAATAAATAGAAGCATAAATCAGTCAAATTTTGTTTGCCCCTGTATTGGCTGTTAATGCGGACTTATAATTTATGTACATATAAACTTTAAGAAAAGAAGGGCAAACTTGGCACTTACTATTTATTTTTAAATTGATAAAGCAAAACACCTGCAGCGGGAAGAGACAGACGGACATGGCTAGATTGACCTCCTCTCCTGATCAAGAATATATTTACAAAATTCTGACCGAAATTTAAATTTCCTCTGCAAGAGTATTAAAATGCTTAAAATTCAGGCTTCTAGACCAGAATACCCCTTAATCATCGATTAATTAAGTGATTTATTTGGCCTCCTATCGAAATATTATTTAAGAAGTTATTAGCGTACATGGAAAATTTCGGCAAATGGCGTCACCCAAAAGTATATTTATATATATTTATATATATTTATTAACCTGAATAACGGGCATCAAATAGTCGGGACACTCGCCCTTAGCGTTCCTTGTTGTTTTTTTTTTTTTAACGAAACAATGTGGACGCGAAATAATTGTTATTTCTGATCGTTATTTTTTGTCGCTTAGAAATATTAATTTTTTTCAGAGTAATATAATAAAAAATAATGTAAGAAAATATCACTACTTATAAGGAAAAACAAATGAAATGTATGAAATAATGATCATTGCGGATTTGAAAAGATTATATAAATAGTTATTAAATTGTATACTTTAATTTTCTACGGTTATTAAAAGTGCAGTTTTTTTTTGGTTTAAAAATAAGTAAAATAATGACTTAAAGTTTCAGATATTTATTGCGTTGAACATGGTTGATTATGGATCTTAATGTCCTTTTGACAATAAATTCCAGCTTATTTAACGTTTGAATTTTATTTAACTTAACCGTTTTAATGTTAGGCTTTGTCAAGCGAACTAAAAATAATATATGTACAATTTGTTTACGTTGTCATGATTTTAAAGAGTAATTTATGCTTTTCACTTGTTGGTATGCATATTTATACTTTATCTTAGCCAAACACTTTATTGGGGACTTGTGTTGGTTTTTTTTAAACCCGTTACCATAAGCCAATAGCCAGATAAGAATATTAACTCATTTGCGGAATGAATAAGAAAATTTCCACATCGAAATAGTAAGTGGCAACATTTTCATCAGATTAACTGGGCTTATTGCGAATTTTGATAACAGCTATTGTGACTCCAGCTGAACTGCTCAGATATCAAGAGCTAATCTCTGTTGTTTCTCTTAAAAGATAAGATATGCGGTTTCTGATGAAGGCTCGTCTTTTATGAACGAAAACAAAGAAATAGGAAATGTGATCTTATATCATAAGCTTATAGGAAAAGTAACAGAGCTTAGTATTGTTTTGAAATCATTTAGGCATATGGAAGTACCTATATTACAAAAACCTTTGAGTAACTCATATCTTATAATTTATAAAATATTATTGTCTTTGTTGTTAACTTATTTTTATTTTTTTTAATAAGTATTGAAAAAAATGAAAACAAACTAATAAAAAGTTATAGGTCCGGTGGTTTTATTGAAATGGGGCCATATTTTAAGTACTAATTGAAGTAATCGCGAGGACTCCATTCTGATAGTTAGTTTCTGCACGAGCACCCCGAACTGAGGAAGTACTCCATAAATTCAATCTGAATCAGTTCAGTGATAAGAATCTGATTACTTGTTAATAAAGTTTGCACGAGCACAAGACCTACCTCAATAATCGAGGTGCTACTTTTAGAATAACAAAATTTAAATCAAAATTATGGGAAAAATAAGCTATATTATTATAACTATTACCTCTTAAACATTCGTTTAATACAAAAAATAGAAGACTTACTTGTGAACATTTCGTCGGTGATTTGTATTGCAATATATTAAGCAAAGCTGAGGCGACAATCGTAAATATAAGACGGATGATTAGATTACACCTGGGTCCGCAATTTGAATGGTGATTGGCTGGAAGAGTATCTGAACACGGGGATGATTTACGGTTGCACTTGCGGATCGCTTCCAGTCGATTGATAAGTGACAAAGGTCCGCCATATAAGCACACTGCCTCTGGACAGCCAGTTGAATCGAGTCGAATCGAAACGAATCGAAGTCAACATGAAGATCGCTCTGCTTGCCATTCTGGTGGTGATTGTGGGTCTGGCCCAGGCCACCGACTACTGCTCGTGGGACATCTGCAATGGGGGCTCCCACATTGCCTGCGGGCACAGTAACTGGTGGGATAGCAGCTGCCCGGGCGATGCCCAACTGATCGACATCAACGACGACTACAAGTGGGTCTTGGTCCACTCGCACAACGACAAGCGGAACTATATTGCCGGCGGCTACGATCCGAACCACAATGCCGCCTGCCGGATGGCCACCATGGAGTGGGACGACGAGCTGGCCTATCTGGCCTCCCTGAACGTCCGCCAGTGCAACATGGTGCACGACAGCTGCCACAACACGGACGCCTTCAAGTACTCCGGCCAGAATCTCGCCTGGCAGGCCTACTCCGGCGACCTGCCCGACATGGGCTACATCCTGGACAACAGCGTACAGATGTGGTTCGACGAGGTGCACAACTCCAACTCCGGCATCATCGACGGCGGATACCCCTCCGGCTATAATGGACCGTAAGTCTGAGTAACCGAGTGAGAGTAGTTTATTCAAGCTGATTTTTGTTTTTTTTGTGTTCTAATGGTGTAAAGTGACAGTCAAGATTAAGGTAGGCAATGTATATTTTAAAGTTTTTTTTCCATAATAAGGTATGTTTTCAACGTAACCGATTTAGAACAGTTTACTAAAGCTGATTTCTCTCCTTTTTAGTTTTTGTGATTTAATGGTGTAAAGTGAAGATCAAGATTAAGACAAAAAATATATATATATTCACATATATATATATATATTTTTTTTTTATGAATCATAGGTGAACTATGACACATTTTTTAAAGAACAATTCAAAGTATTTGTTTGACATAATAAGTTATTTTAATAAAAAGGGATTGGTATATATTTAAAATAAAGTCAATAAACTTACTAATTTTTACTTTGGTAAGCTTATTGTGGGTTTTAAATTAGAATTTTCCATATGTGTACTCAGCTTAAAACCTATTTTAGCTTAATCAGGTCGAAATATAAGATACATAATTAGTTCTTAAATCATAGATAGTATTTGCCCATCAAAGGTTTTGCCTTCTTTTGTGTATGGTGTGTGATAATGATGTTTCGAAATGTTAATAATGATATTCTTGTTTATTCCACAGTACCATTGGCCACTTCACAGTGATGATGTCGGAGAGGAACACCCGTGTGGGTTGTGCTGCCGCCCGCTACAATCGCGATGGCTGGAACCAGGTGCTCGTGGCCTGCAACTATGCCACCACCAACATGATCGGACGCCAGATCTACTCCAGCTGCGACTGGGGGGCACAAGGATGCGGATCCGGCAGCAACGGCGAGTTCGGCAACCTCTGCTCCCCCTCCGAGTGGTACGATGTCAACAGCTGGTAATCCATCCAAACCACCATGTTCAGGGTCATCTTATTGGCCAGGCCAGAAAATAAAGTGTATAGTTAAAGGTATTGAAACTAAAGAAAATTGTTGTATAATCTTGGGGCTAATATTGCAGACTATTAAGTCTTTGGCGGAGTCTTTTGTATAAGATTTGTTCTAAGCTATGTCTTAAATATGTGTATTTCTATATTTTTTTAAGTATATTAGAAACTTGATTCATTTTCTAAAAACTTTGTATGGTTTATTTATCTTCTATAAACCAGCGTTTTTGTTACGAGCATTATACGTTAATCAAATTTTTTAAAAGTTCAAAATTCGGCTTGGCAAATAATACATCTTTACTAGTCAGCCGATTGTACCTAATATACTTAGTAATAACATGGCATAAATTCATTTTTATTATATTATATAACCCTTCGTAAGGGATTAGATAATGAATAGTAACTATAAAGTTTTCTATAAAATAATTTATTTAATTAAAAAATTAAATGTCTTCTAGTTTGGTCCGCTCCAAAATCGATTGTACCTTTTTTAGATGTTATAAATTCATTATTATTATTATATATTTTGTAAGGAATTAGACAATGAGATGAAACTAAAAAGTTCTTTTAAAAAAAATTAAAATATTTACTTTAAATATTTAATTTATTCTAGTTTCTTCCGATCCAAGCTTAAAAATGAGGTGAAAAATAATTTGTACTTTATTAATTGCTTTAAACTAATTGAAAAAAAGTTAATGATGAACCAGACTTTGATGGTATTAAATATTGTATAAATTTATTTGTTACAAGTACAGAGAATTTGCCAACAATTTGGAGGATAAGATATATATGTAAACGTAAATTTAGTACGTTTTTCATTCAAATTCGAGCATTCAATATTGTGGTTTAGTATCATTTAAGTATGCATCGCTTCAATACGCTGCGTTCTGGTACTATTTGCTAATTGTGTGTTCTTGGGCATCCGAGATGAGACGAGCCGAGCCTTATAATTCATCCGCTAAATCGGAGGAATCGCGTGAATTAGATGGTAATAATATTTCGAGCCTGTGACGAGTATTGTTGGGTATTTGGTTCCGGGTCGGTTGCTTTTGATTTCGCCAAGGCAAGCCCACATCAACGATCTGGCCGCTGGGCAGGGCATGTTTGTAGAAGCACTTGTTGCCAAAGGGGCATCTGCCCAGGCCCCTCCTGAAGTACTTGCAATCCTTGGCCCTTAGGGCGGTGCGATAGGCGCAGAGCAGCTTGTCCTTCTCCTCCTTGGTGTCCACCCAAAAGGCACTGGGGCAGACGAAGTCCGAGCAAACGCGACATTCGGGGCAAGCTCGCGTTACCTTAGGCTCGAACTGTTCGGCCTGCCGCCACGTGCGGATGCACGCCAGGCAGAATATGTGCTTGCACTGGGACAGGATGCCGAACCGCCTCTCACTGCCCTTCTTCTCGACCACCTTGTCCAGGCAAATGCCGCACATCTTGTCCCTGGAACGGGCAATGGCAAACGATAGCTCCATGGCCTGTTCATGCAGTCGGGTGCACTCGCGATTGTGCTCCCTGCGCTGATCCTGATCCCGCGGATGCAGACAGTACAGGTCGCACATCTGGCACAGCTCCAGGCGGACGCAAAAGGGACACTCCACGCCCCAAAAACACTGGCTCACATTGGGGCAGAGCTCGTTAAGCGTTCCAGATTCGGCACTCTTTCGCTTTTCGCTGGGCACAAAAACGGGCGCATTTGCCCACATCCTCTGACGACTATAGGTGCTCGTACTGGCCATCTCCTGCTGCTCCTGCCGTTGCTCCTGCTCCTGCATCTGCTCCTCCACCTGCTCCTCCACCTGCTCCTCCACCTGCTCCTCCACCTGCACCTCCACCTGCTCCTCCACCTGCTCCTCCACCTGCTCCTCCACCAGCTCCTCCACCTGCTCCTGCTCCTGTTCCGGCACTGTATTATCGTTCGAATCGTGGTTGAAACGGCATGACTCGCCAAAGCGACAGATTCCCCACATATTGTAGGGACACTTTGTTTGGTTTCCGTCAAGCTCCATCCTAATCTTGTGGTTTACAAAAGGCGGTGCAAAAATAAAAATAGTGTTTGTTTTGTAATATCTTAAAATTTGTTTACAGCAATACGTTCGTTCTAAGTTAGACATTCAAGACTACTTTCCAAAGGAATGACAAGTTAATAAAAATTACATTTCAAAGAACTGCTGAGGTTTTTATTAACAAACTCTTGTTTTGAGAAAGTGTATAAAAGCTGTCAGACTGGAAAGCAAAAAAAATATATATATTCGCTTCTATCCACAAAGCGTATACAAACCATTCAAATAAGTGTCGCAGTAAATTTGAAAAACAGTTAAGTATTGAATGTTGGGCAACTTCAAAATAAACTACTTTAAACTAAAATTTTATTTTACTTTATTTTCATGTGATGGAGCTTCTGATTATGGAAATATTTGCTTATCCTAAAGTTGCAGTGGATTTCTGTTATTTTTTATACTCGATTTATTGCAAAATTTTAGAAAAATATTTGTCATTACCAACACTGATAAAGTAATGGAACAGTAAGAATAAATATCTGACTATTAAATTACAAGTTTTGTTTTTAACATTTAATAAAAATATTAAATCTTTATAATAAATGCAATCCATATTTAACGGCATGGTTGAATATTAATATATTATCATATTTAAGCTAAATATGGTTTAAATTGAAACTATTTTCAGATATTAAAATCAATTGCAAACATTGTCTAATAAATAATTTTAAGAAATGTTATTATTTTTAATTTAAGATAACTAAAAACCGCAATGGATGAAAATCTAAGTGAAAATGTTTAAATTGAGTACAAAATATTTGGCACGTACGTACCTGGATGCAAATTTGTAATTTACGCAAAAATACTACCTAAAGATTGGTTCTCTAGTAATATTTATTTGTGGAAGCTAAACGAGACTTGTGGTAAAGTTGTTTAGCAACACCACCACTTCTATCAGAAATGTAACTTATTCTACAAATTCTTTGTATTGCTATGTACTTTAAAGAGATTAAAAATGCGGTTTTCGGTTGATTCGATCTGTTTTAGATCCCTCCATTCCCAGTCAAGTTCACAAATGGAATCCTCGCCACTGACTTGCTCAACAGTTTTCGCGATTGATTTGGCATCTTGGGTATTGGCTCTGGCTGTCGCAGATTACGGAATTCCACTGTGGCGTTGCCCCAAATGACGACTTTCGCCACTGCGATTGCGATTGCGATAGCGATTGCCATTGCCACATCTACGAGTATATTGCTTCCGGAAACTGTTGTTGTCTAGTACACCGAAATACCCGGGGTGTGAATCCCCGTCGCTGTTGTTATATGCCGAATTTGTCGTGAAATGTCTTGGTAATCAATTTATGTGTTCCGTCGTTGTCGTCGTCGCTAGTTTTTGGGTGGCTTAAGCACCGCGATTCGGCAGAAGCCGCAAGCCGCAAACTTTTTTGCCAACTGAATGCGGGATGAGGTGGTTCGGTTGCTTCGCTTGGTAGCTGGAAATTCACCTGCGGAATTTCCAACGATAACTTCCACTCATCTCCGCCTTGAGGCCATCAACTTTGACGGCCTGTCTTTGGTGCCGGTGCCTCTGTCTGTCTGTCTGTCAGTCGCCTGTTGGTTGTTCCTGTTGCTGGTCCTGCACTCTAAATAAATTTCAAAGAATAAATATGAACCGCCTGGGACCAAATTAACGTTTGCGGGTAGAAACTTCCGATGCGAACTAAAGGAAAGCTCCGCATTCTTTTTTTTTATTTAGATATTTAGATATAACAAATCTTAGTTATACAGTTAAATTGTGATTATTTCAAATTAGTTTTATAAATTAATGTTAACTCTAAACAAATAAACAACATAGTCAAAGGAATTTAAGACAAACAATCGAATTTTAAGTAATTGTAAACATTGTATACAATAAATGACAAACTTTATAAAATACTTCCTTTTTTACTCAGCCAAAGTGGAAGATTTTAGAACATTCGTAAATCTTTTGAGCCTTAGTTCGAATTATGATAATCTCTAAAAAGAAAATGTGTTATTCAATGTTGAGTTGAGACTTTAGACCTGTTGTTGTTAAATTAAGGCAGAATACAAAATATATTTTCTATCTATTTAAATAAAAAATAAAGGTTATGGGTTTTTATTCATTTTAATTTGAAAACCCTTTTTTGTGGCTTAGATATATTGTTTAAATGATGCCCTTAAAAACTTACTTGATCTCTTTGAGTCAGCTCTGGGCTAGATAAATTATTACAAATATTTTCATATGGTATAAAATAGTGCAAATTAATGCCAATGAATAACAAATTTAATACATTTTTATTTAGAAAATTATATATTTCATTATTAATTTAATTTACTAACAGTCTGATAGATAAATTATTAAAGGATTTTCTTATCTCATATAATTTGTAACAAATATGATTTTGATATCGTTAAAGTAATGCACCTTTAGTGTAAGTTTTATTAATTTAATTTTAAAAAGTTATTTTTCACTGGTTATCTAAAATGCTAAGAGGCTGCCTGAGAAAACAAACATGGTTTTTCTCCCAGTGACCTCTCCTTCCGTTTTGGCGTACGTGAAAATGAAGCATTTTCCATTTGATGATAACAAAACATGTTTGGCATATTGATGAATGCCTCTAGAGAATGGGTGCCCCTATCTAGTTCCACTTCTCCATCCCCAACCCCATCCCCATTGTCATCCCCATTGCCATTCCTATCCCATTTTCCCATCTTCGAATCGCACATTTCAGCACATCTTGCGGCAGGGACTCGAATTAGGCGGATGCGGTGCTCCACGCTCGATTTTAATGATGTGACTGACGGACGCCCACCGAAATATGTACTTTACTTAGCTGCTTCAATGTTTCGTGATGGCCTCTCCCCTTGTACATATTATTTTTCCGTGGCTTGAGCTTTTGCTTACTTTTCATAACTACCCGCCGGAGAATGTGTTCGCAGCCTGTTTATATATGCGGGCTCCGGCGTTTGTTTGCTTTTTGGAATACGTGATTCGCCCACGGTGCGGATGCGGATGCGGATGTGGGGATTTGGATGTGGGGGAGACATCACGGCATCCGTAGTAAAAATATAAATAATAATAAAAATAATTTCTCACTTCATTTGTTGCACAAATCGAAAATAAGCTTGGACTTGAAGTTGTGGCAGCGGCGGAATCGAAGCTCGTTCCTCTGGAACTCGAACTGTCAACGATTTATGTCTAGAATTTCGACGTGCCCACACTGCGTATGTGGGTTTTATCCGCAAATAATGAAATTTACTACTATAGTAGACGTATACATAAAGTACACTTAATGTTCCATCCAGCTAATGAATCAATGGCCGTTTGAGTAAATGACTTAATGAGGTTATTTATTAGGGTTCTATGGACTAAAATATCTGCTTACGAATAAATAAAGAGTTGGGAAAATCGATTAGTTTATTATGATGAATAGATTCTATTTTCCTGCAGAACGTACTACAGAGAAACATTGGGTCATATAAACAAATATTTTGAACAGCAATGTATGTGCAATGCTGAAATATCATTTCATTTCAATTCAATTACAGTTTATTTTTTGAAGCACCGCAATAGTCGAATCGAATTTTGAATCAGGTGCAATTTAAATTACCGACAAAATGCATGTGTGTTCACATGTGTATGTTGCATCTATTTAAGCTGCGGCACAGGAAGCATTAAAAACTGCTGCTATCTCGGGGCAGAAAAAAAAAACGACAAGATAGACATACGCTGATGCAGTCAAGGCAAATAAGTAGGTGTTTACGATGGTTGGCTTCACCGGAATCGTGGGTGGAAAAAACCTTTTAAACGTATACGTAAATATACAAGTTTTTATTAAACTTTTTTTTTTAAAGACTTCTGAACCAAAAATGGCCAGATCGAATTAATTGTGGGAATTCAATTTAATCTTATGAAGTCACAATTTAAAAAAAAAAAGATTTAGTTAAAGCCTTAATTTAAACGGACAGAAAGCCGATCAACTTGTATATCATGAGATATTTTAATCCTTCTTAATAAAAGATAATTATTTTTGTAGTTTCAATTAAATTTTAAAATTTAATATTCAGAAGACAAGACTGACATCGTTCACTTTTCAGGGTTATTAGTTTGTAGTTCTTTTAAAAAGCTTAGGAGCTATATTAAAAGTGCCATTTTGCGATCTATTGTCTATAGTTTCACACTCACGAATAAAAAAAAAAAAAAAATATGTTGTTACCCAATTAAGGTATTTAATGTTGACAGAAATTTGTTTACTTTTATAAAATATAAAGAAAATAAATGAAATGAAACGGATTTGTTTTAAAAGGACTTTTTAGTATAAATTCTTGTTCACCATCATTTTCCGGAGTTACAAGAAAATCACTTTCAAATTGTTTAACAGTACAAAGATTTGAATGAAATAAAAGCGTAAAAATTGTCTTACTGCAAGAAACTTTGTGCGTTTTGTGTATTTTCTTGCAAAACCTTCTCAATCTTTTGAAATGGTTGTGAATTCCTTTCTGGATGCATTTATTTGAATGCTGATAGTCCGTGTGAATGACAATTATAAGTGTAGCACATACCAGCCACGCAGCTCTTCAGTGAAAATATTAAATTAGCTGCCAAGTTGTGAGCCAATTTCAATTTGTGCTCCGCGTGGCAAACAGATTTTAAGCCATGTCAGGACTCAGGGCTTTTCTTTCGCCTTCTTTTTTTCTTCTTTTTTTTATGGTTTTTACCCCATGTCGTTGACTTTCTGAGTGTGTGTGTGTGTGTGGGTGTGCATGTGTGGGTGCCTTGGTGTGTGAGCTTTCTTTTGCTGCACGCCGTAGCATACTTTTAGAGCGCTGCCATTCATTAATCAAGTTCAGGGCACTTTAAAGTGGTCGCTTAGCCTCGGCTCTGTCACTCGGTGCTGAAGCTGAATCTGAAGCTGAAGTTGAATATGTGGCTGTCGCCGGAAGCATGTTGTTTCTCGGGGGCAACACTACTTGCCTCCCCACCATCCTTCATCCTAACCCCACAGTTAAGCTCAAAATATATGAACTAACAATAAATATGGTGTTCTTCTGTGGGCTTAAAATATTTTCTTAAACACCTGCCTTAAACCTACTAAACATTCATATCGATAGCATTA